TTTCTGTGACAACACGGCGGCGATATGCATGTCAAAGGAACCACGATTCCATAAGAACTCCAAGCATATGAAACTATGTTTCTATCATCTAAGGAATGAGGTGAGATTGAGAAAGATTGAGATCTAGGTAAACTAAATATTTTAATGGGAGCACCTACTAGTATTTGACAGGCCAGATAGAACAACAGACTATAATGTTGTTCACCCATGGAACCCAGATGTGTGGTACTGGTTGTATGGCTACAAAAGGGAGCAGGTTATTTGAATAACTCTTTTGAGCCTACAAACATACGACCCCATGTGATGAGGGTATGTGATGACCTTATGCGACAACAGGTCCATGATTCACAATGCGATGTGAAAGATGAGTTACTATCGTTTTGGGGATATGATCTAAGCAGCAAAGAGAAAAAAGTGTTGCATCTATAAATCTTTGTTTAAAAGGATTGATGGTGAAAGTCATGTTTAATGTATTGAGAGAGATACGGTAATTGGGAGAGAGAGATGGGGACGAGAGAAAGTGAGAAAGAGATATTGTAAGGCCTTCAAAAGTCAAGTGGGAGATGTTGGGTTTATGTGGCCTTTAAAAGCCTTATAAATGCTTGTAAAATGAAATGATATAATAGAATATGAACTCAGTGGGAGTGTGGTCCTTCATGGACCATACCATAGAAACGATGTTTGCAGATACCAGACTATGCTTAACGATCTAGGCCAGTTGAATGGGAAAAACTCATATTACCTAGGCATGAAAAATAAACCGAGGAGGGTTCGTGGGTTAGCCCCTGATGATGTCGGAGAATATGCCTGAATGAGCCAAGGGACTGTATAACCCTTGTGTTTGATGGTGGCCTACAAAGATGAGGGTCAAAACCTCATCCATGTGTCATCACACGACATGCATATCGATGATCATTCGGAAAGCCAGAAATCCGCATTTTTGGATGAAGTGTATGCATGTGCGAGAAATCCCCCTATGCGCCATAGAGCTGTCGTCGCATCAGATCTTGGTGATCTTGACTCGTCTCTAAGGGAGGACATATATAATCCACTGACTGGGATTGCGACCTCTTGGCTCATCGACCAGACTTTGGTGACCCACTAATGAGTCTCTGCTTGGACTATGGGTCATGGAAAATACTGGGTCTGTTTGATAAAGCAAGTGTGGCCCGTAGTCTACAGGTTAAGATGGAGTGCCCTATGATTGTTGATTCAATTCCTAAACCATATGGATCAATTTTCCATCAAATTAATTTAATTATATTTTTTTTATGATAATAATTATTTTAGAATTATTATTTGAAATTTTTATGAACCTTTTGATTATGCCATGGTTGGCATGCCCTACCTCTTACTACTTTCTATTTTATGAAAAGTTTGTTTTGTGGTCCATGTGACCTTATGTTTTGGTAACTGTAAATTGTGGCATGTGCTCAAATTATAAATTGAGTATATATTGACCATATATTGACCTAATATGGAAGTAGATATTGACTTGATATATCTTTGATAAATTTTGAGATGTGCTATTTTATAAAATGCATAATTAAAATTAATTTAACTTATTTTCTATTAATAGGAAAATGGTTTAAGAAAGAGGGATAAAGGTTTATACACCTTCCATAATGTTGATAGCTTATTTAAGGAATGGATGGCTTAGATTTCTCATCTCACAAGTCACCCTTGATTGACAGTCCATGTTTAATCTCACAAGAAGAGGCAAGCCAAGGAAAAACCTAAGAAACCCTAATATTGTTCAAAGCCTATAAAAAGGGATTGTCTCTACCCAAAAATCTGTACACTTTATCTCTTGTACCTAATTCCATATTTCTCTCTCATATCCCACTTAGAATTTCTCTCTTTCTTAAGAAAAGTTTCTCTTAGAATTTTTCTCTTAAGAAAAGTTTCTCTCTCTCCTACATTGTGAAAGAACCTAAGGGTTTAAGTTATTGAGGTATTCTCTCTCCTATCTCTCAACTATGGATTTATGGCTAAGGGTTTTACGGTTTAGCAAAAAGAGAATTCATCTCTCTCAAACTAGTTTGTTAAGGGAATTCACCTAGGGTTTGAGTTTGTGATGAAATGGGTTTATGTTCTATTGGTGTGACTTGACCTAAACTTGTTTTTCCGGTTTGAGATTGAAGCAAGATTGTCAATTCCGCTCCATCAAATGGTGGTGACTCAGTGTAGGGTGTATTAAGCCCGGTTGAGGTAATCTTCGGCACTCTTCTCTTTTAGTTCTTGCAATCTTATTTTTTATTCTCAAGCATAGTGCATAGTTATTTCAATGGAATCAAGTTTTACGATCTTGGTTTTATTTCCATATTAATTTTATTTTGAAATATATGTTGTTGTAATAAGACCACATGTATGTAATCTTTTGCCAAAACAACGGGGTGATATAAAAAATAAAATATT